GGGTGCTGGCAGATTACGGGCCTCCCATAGCTGCCAGCCAGGCCCCTAATCTGCCATAGGCCCCTATATACCGCCTCCTCATGCTGCTGCCAGGTCCAGAGTCTCTCATGGGTCCCTGTACGGGCCTCCCATTGCTGCTGTCTCCATGCCACACTCTGCCATGTGCCACTTTCAGGTCTCCTCACACACTGCTGGTGTGTAGAATTTTTTGACATAGGGTGCTGGCAGATTACGGGCCTCCCATAGCTGCTGCCAGGCCCCCCCTAATCTGCCATAGGCCCCTATATATACCGCCTCCTCATGCTGCTGCCAGGTCCAGAGTCTCTCATGGGTCCCTGTACGGCCTCCCATTGCTGCTGTCTCCATCGCCACACTCTGCCATGTGCCACTTTCAGGTCTCCTCACACACTGCTGGTGTGTTGAATTTTTTGACATAGCTGGCAGATTACGGGCCTCCCATAGCTGCTGCCAGGCCCCTAATCTGCCATAGGCCCCTATATACCGCCTCATGCTGCTGCCAGGTCCAGAGTCTCTCATGGGTCCCTGTACGGCCTCCCATTGCTGCTGCTGTCTCCATCGCCACACTCTGCCATGTGCCACTTTCAGGTCTCCTCACACACTGCTGGTGTGTAGAATTTTTTTGACATAGGGTGCTGGCAGATTACGGGCCTCCCATAGCTGCTGCCAGGCCCCTAATCTGCCATGGGCCCCTATATACCGCCTCCTCATGCTGCTGCTGCCAGGTCCACAGTGTCTGTCATGCCATGTGCCACTTTCAGGTCTCCTCACACTGCTGGTTTCAGTGTGAATTTTTTTGACATAGGGTGCTGGCAGATTACGGGCCTCCCATAGCTGCTGCCAGGCCCCTAATCTGCCATAGGCCCCTATATACCGCCTCCTCATGCTGCTGCCAGGTCCAGAGTCTCTCATGGGTCCCTGTACGGCCTCCCATTGCTGCTGTCTCCATCGCCACACTCTGCCATGTGCCACTTTCAGGTCTCCTCACACACTGCTGGTGTGTAGAATTTTTTGACATAGGGTGCTGGCAGATTACGGGCCTCCCATAGCTGCTGCCAGGCCCCTAATCTGCCATAGGCCCCTATATACCGCCTCCTCATGCTGCTGCCAGGTCCAGAGTCTCTCATGGGTCCCTGTACGGCCTCCCATTGCTGCTGTCTCCATCGCCACACTCTGCCATGTGCCACTTTCAGGTCTCCTCACACACTGCTGGTGTGTTGAATTTTTTTGACATAGGGTGCTGGCAGATTACGGGCCTCCCATAGCTGCTGCCAGGCCCCTAATCTGCCATGGGCCCCTATATACCGCCTCCTCATGCTGCTGCCAGGTCCAGAGTCTCATGGGTCCCTGTACGGCCTCCCATTGCTGCTGTCTCCATCGCCACACTCTGCCATGTGCCACTTTCAGGTCTCCTCACACTGCTGGTGTGTTGAATTTTTTTGACATAGGGTGCTGGCAGATTACGGGCCTCCCATAGCTGCTGCCAGGCCCCTAATCTGCCATAGGCCCCTATATACCGCCTCCTCATGCTGCTGCCAGGTCCAGAGTCTGTCATGGGTCCCTGTACGGCCTCCCATTGCTGCTGTCTCCATCGCCACACTCTGCCATGTGCCACTTTCAGGTCTCCTCACACACTGCTGGTGTGTAGAATTTTTTTTTGACATAGGGTGCTGGCAGATTACGGGCCTCCCATAGCTGCTGCCAGGCCCCTAATCTGCCATAGGCCCCTATATACCGCCTCCTCATGCTGCTGCCAGGTCCAGAGTCTCTCATGGGTCCCTGTACGGCCTCCCATTGCTGCTGTCTCCATCGCCACACTCTGCCATGTGCCACTTTCAGGTCTCCTCACACACTGCTGGTGTGTAGAATTTTTTTGACATAGGGTGCTGGCAGATTACGGGCCTCCCATAGCTGCTGCCAGGCCCCTAATCTGCCATAGGCCCCTATATACCGCCTCCTCATGCTGCTGCCAGGTCCAGAGTCTCTCATGGGTCCCTGTACGGCCTCCCATTGCTGCTGTCTCCATCGCCACACTCTGCCATGTGCCACTTTCAGGTCTCACACACTGGTGTGTGAATTTTTTGACATAGGGTGCTGGCAGATTACGGGCCTCCCATAGCTGCTGCCAGGCCCCTAATCTGCCATAGGCCCCTATATACCGCCTCCTCATGCTGCTGCCAGGTCCAGAGTCTCTCATGGGTCCCTGTACGGCCTCCCATTGCTGCTGTCTCCATCGCCACACTCTGCCATGTGCCACTTTCAGGTCTCCTCACACACACTGCTGGTGTGTAGAATTTTTTGACATAGGGTGCTGGCAGATTACGGGCCTCCCATAGCTGCTGCCAGGCCCCTAATCTGCCATAGGCCCCTATATACCGCCTCCTCATGCTGCTGCCAGGTCCAGAGTCTCTCATGGGTCCCTGTACGGCCTCCCATTGCTGCTGTCTCCATCGCCACACTCTGCCATGTGCCACTTTCAGGTCTCCTCACACACTGCTGGTGTGTAGAATTTTTTGACATAGGGTGCTGGCAGATTACGGGCCTCCCATAGCTGCTGCCAGGCCCCTAATCTGCCATAGGCCCCTATATACCGCCCTCATGCTGCTGCCAGGTCCAGAGTCTCTCATGGGTCCCTGTACGGCCTCCCATTGCTGCTGTCTCCATCGCCACACTCTGCCATGTGCCACTTTCAGGTCTCCACACACTGCTGGTGTGTTGAATTTTTTGACATAGGGTGCTGGCAGATTACGGGCCTCCCATAGCTGCTGCCAGGCCCCTAATCTGCCATAGGCCCCTATATACCGCCTCCTCATGCTGCTGCCAGGTCCAGAGTCTCTCATGGGTCCCTGTACGGCCTCCCATTGCTGCTGTCTCCATCGCCACACTCTGCCATGTGCCACTTTCAGGTCTCCTCACACACACTGCTGGTGTGTAGAATTTTTTGACATAGGGTGCTGGCAGATTACGGGCCTCCCATAGCTGCTGCCAGGCCCCTAATCTGCCATAGGCCCCTATATACCGCCTCCTCATGCTGCTGCCAGGTCCAGAGTCTCTCATGGGTCCCTGTACGGCCTCCCATTGCTGCTGTCTCCATCGCCACACTCTGCCATGTGCCACTTTCAGGTCTCCTCACACACTGCTGGTGTGTGTAGAATTTTTTGACATAGGGTGCTGGCAGATTACGGGCCTCCCATAGCTGCTGCCAGGCCCCTAATCTGCCATAGGCCCCTATATACCGCCTCCTCATGCTGCTGCCAGGTCCAGAGTCTCTCATGGGTCCCTGTACGGCCTCCCATTGCTGCTGTCTCCATCGCCACACTCTGCCATGTGCCACTTTCAGGTCTCCTCACACACTGCTGGTGTGTAGAATTTTTTGACATAGGGTGCTGGCAGATTACGGGCCTCCCATAGCTGCTGCCAGGCCCCTAATCTGCCATGGGCCCCTATATACCGCCTCCTCATGCTGCTGCCAGGTCCAGAGTCTCTCATGGGTCCCTGTACGGCCTCCCATTGCTGCTGTCTCCATCGCCACACTCTGCCATGTGCCACTTTCAGGTCTCCTCACACACTGCTGGTGTGTTGAATTTTTTGACATAGGGTGCTGGCAGATTACGGGCCTCCCATAGCTGCTGCCAGGCCCCTAATCTGCCATAGGGCCCCTATATACCGCCTCCTCATGCTGCTGCCAGGTCCAGAGTCTCTCATGGGTCCCTGTACGGCCTCCCATTGCTGCTGTCTCCATCGCCACACTCTGCCATGTGCCACTTTCAGGTCTCCTCACACACACTGCTGGTGTGTTGAATTTTTTGACATAGGGTGCTGGCAGATTATTACGGGCCTCCCATAGCTGCTGCCAGGCCCCTAATCTGCCATAGGCCCCTATATACCGCCTCCTCATGCTGCCAGGTCCAGAGTCTCTCATGGGTCCCTGTACGGCCTCCCATTGCTGCTGTCTCCATCGCCACACTCTGCCATGTGCCACTTTCAGGTCTCCTCACACACTGCTGGTGTGTAGAATTTTTTGACATAGGGTGCTGGCAGATTACGGGCCTCCCATAGCTGCTGCCAGGCCCCTAATCTGCCATAGGCCCCTATATACCGCCTCCTCATGCTGCTGCCAGGTCCAGAGTCTCTCATGGGTCCCTGTACGGCCTCCCATTGCTGCTGTCTCCATCGCCACACTCTGCCATGTGCCACTTTCAGGTCTCCTCACACACTGCTGGTGTGTAGAATTTTTTGACATAGGGTGCTGGCAGATTACGGGCCTCCCATAGCTGCTGCCAGGCCCCTAATCTGCCATGGGCCCCTATATACCGCCTCCTCATGCTGCTGCCAGGTCCAGAGCTGCATGCCAGGTCCATGAGGCTCCCATGCTGCTGTCTCCCATTGCTGCTGTCTCCATCGCCACACTCTGCCATGTGCCACTTTCAGGTCTCCTCACACACTGCTGGTGTGTTGAATTTTTTGACATAGGGTGCTGGCAGATTACGGGCCTCCCATAGCTGCTGCCAGGCCCCTAATCTGCCATAGGCCCCTATATACCGCCTCCTCATGCTGCTGCCAGGTCCAGAGTCTCTCATGGGTCCCTGTACGGCCTCCCATTGCTGCTGTCTCCATCGCCACACTCTGCCATGTGCCACTTTCAGGTCTCCTCACACACTGCTGGTGTGTAGAATTTTTTGACATAGGGTGCTGGCAGATTACGGGCCTCCCATAGCTGCTGCCAGGCCCCTAATCTGCCATAGGGCCCTATATACCGCCTCCTCATGCTGCTGCCAGGTCCAGAGTCTGTCATGGGTCCCTGTACGGCCTCCCATTGCTGCTGTCTCCATCGCCACACTCTGCCATGTGCCACTTTCAGGTCTCCTCACACACTGCTGGTGTGTGTAGAATTTTTTGACATAGGGTGCTGGCAGATTACGGGCCTCCCATAGCTGCTGCCAGGCCCCTAATCTGCCATAGGGCCCCTATATACCGCCTCCTCATGCTGCTGCCAGGTCCAGAGTCTCTCATGGGTCCCTGTACGGCCTCCCATTGCTGCTGTCTCCATCGCCACACTCTGCCATGTGCCACTTTCAGGTCTCCTCACACACTGCTGGTGTGTGTTAGAATTTTTTGACATAGGGTGCTGGCAGATTACGGGCCTCCCATAGCTGCTGCCAGGCCCCTATCTGCCATAGGCCCCTATATACCGCCTCCTCATGCTGCTGCCAGGTCCAGAGTCTCTCATGGGTCCCTGTGTACGGCCTCCCATTGCTGCTGTCTCCATCGCCACACTCTGCCATGTGCCACTTTCAGGTCTCCTCACACTGCTGGTGTGTAGAATTTTTTGACATAGGGTGCTGGCAGATTACGGGCCTCCCATAGCTGCTGCCAGGCCCCTAATCTGCCATGGGCCCCTATATACCCTCCTCATGCTGCTGCCAAGTCCAGAGTCTGTCATGGGTCCCTGTACGGCCTCCCATTGCTGCTGTCTCCATCGCCACACTCTGCCATGTGCCACTTTCAGGTCTCCTCACACTGCTGGTGTGTTGAATTTTTTGACATAGGGTGCTGGCAGATTACGGGCCTCCCATTGCTGCTGCCAGGCACGTAATCTGCCATGGGCCCCCGTACCGACTCCTCATGCTGTGACGTTGCAACAAGGTGGAATTCAACCCTACATATGTTAGACCGCCTTTACGAACAGCGAAAGGCCATCACCGATTTCCTGATGTTAAAAGCGGATAAAGGTACTCCCTGTGTAACTTAGATGTCAGCCATTGGCAGCTCATGCGTGACACCTGCGCTTGCTCAGGCCCTTTGAGGAGGCCACGCTATTCGTGAGTCGGCAGGACTATGGGATGAACGACGTCATTCCTCTGTTGCACGTCCTGGAACAAATGCTGTTAAACAATGGCTGGTCAGGGTGCGGGTGCGGTAGACGTGGCGCACAGATCTCAACGCCACATGACCCCTGTGGGGGCAGGACAGGAAGAAGAGGAGGAGGTAGAGGAGGACATTGGTGCTCAGGAATTATTGAGTGAAATGGGTGGTTTTTCCACTCAGCGGACAGGAGTGGAGGAGCAGGAGCATCTGGTAGAGGAGGAGGAGGAGGAGACAGAGGACCCAGACGCACCGTGGCAGTATGCTGTGGAGATGGAGGCAGGGAGTCCCTCGCATTCCTTGGCACAAATGGCCCATAGCATGCTCGCTTGCTTGCGTAGCGACAGCCGAATAATAACCATCAGACAGAGGGATGACTTTTGGCTGTCCACCTTGTTGGACCCTCGCTACCGTTCAAAAATGGTGGCCTTTTTCACACCTGCTGAGAGGGAGGCCAAAATAACGTACTATAAAAACCCCTATGTAGTCAGCTGGTCTCTGCCTGTCTGCGCCAACGTCCAACGTCCATCCTCAGACACTGTGGGCCCTGTGTGCGCGCGCGTTCCGCTGCCATGGCAGCAGGGGAGGGGGGTGGGGTGGTAGGAGCAGTGGCAGCTCCACCAGCAGCGGCTGCCTCAGTCTGCAGTCGATGATGAGTAGCTTTCTTCACCAGCGCAGTGAGGAAACTACTAACCAGCCGCAGCAGCAGCAGCAGCAGCAGCATCAGGTGGACCTGGAGCAGGACCTCAAACAACAGGCTTAGGCCTACTTGGACAGCACCCTGCCAACCGAGGTAGACAATCCCCTTGACTACTGGGCAACGAAACTTGACCTTTGGCCCCAACTAGCTGAATTTGCCCTTGAAAGGCTGTCATGCCCGGCCAGTAGCGTGGCATCGGAGCGCGTGTTTAGTGCGGCAGGAGGTATTGCAACTCCGCGGAGGACACGACTGTCCACCCAAAGTGTGGAGAGACTGACGTTTGTGAAAATGAATCAGGCGTGGATTAGTCTGGATTCAAACCCACCAGTTCCTGACACAACTGACTAAATCCGCCATGAATCATGCCCCAAACATGTGCCACTTTCAGGTCTCCTCACACTGCTGGTGTGTTCCATTTTTTGTCATAGGGTGCTGCTGGCAGATTACGGGCCTCCCATAGCTGCTGCCAGGCCCCTAATCTGCCATGGGCCCTATACCGCCTCCTCATGCTGCTGCCAAGTCCAGAGTCTCTCATGGGTCCCTGTACGGCCTCCCATTGCTGCTGTCTCCATCGCCACACTCTCTGCCATGTGCCACTTTCAGGTCTCCTCACACTGCTGGTGTATTCCATTTTTTGTCATAGGGTGCTGGCAGATTACGGGCCTCCCATAGCTGCTGCCAGGCCCCTAATCTGCCATGGGCCCCTATATACCGCCTCCTCATGCTGCTGCCAGGTCCAGAGTCTCTCATGGGTCCCTGTACGGCCTCCCATTGCTGCTGTCTCCATCGCCACACTCTGCCATGTGCCACTTTCAGGTCTCCTCACACTGCTGGTGGGTTCCATTTTTTGTCATAGGGTGCTGGCAGATTACGGGCCTCCCATAGCTGCTGCCAGGCCCCTAATCTGCCATGGGCCCCCGTACCGACTCCTCATGCTGCTGCCAGGCCCGTAATCTGTCATGGGCCCCTGTTGTGTCGCTTGTTGGCATATTCCGCTCGTTCAGATGCTCCTTCTCCTGCTACTCCTCTTCACGGATTCCGTCAGCAGTCTTTCTTGGAATCCGTTTCCAAGAGACAACAGTTTGCGAGCACGCACCAGACGGTGCAGAAGAAACTGAACGTCCTCCTGTCCAAGTTGCTGCTGCCAGGCTCGTAATCTGTCATGCGCCCCTGTACCGCCTCCTCATGCTGCTGCCAGGTCCAGAGTGTGTCATGGGCCCCCGTACCGACTCCAAATGCTGCTGCCAGGCCCGTAATCTGTCATGGGCCCCTGTACCGCCTCCCCATGCTGCTGCCAGGTCCAGATTGTGTCATGGGTCCCTGTAGGCCTCCCATTGCTGCTGCCAGGCCTGTAATCTGCCATGGGCCCCCGTACCGACTCCTCATGCTGCTGCCAGGCCCGTAATCTGCCATGGGCCCCTGTACCGCCTCCTCATGCTGCTGCCAGGTCCAGAGTGTGTCATGGGTCCCTGTACGGCCTCCCATTGCTGCTGTCTCTATCGCCACACTCTGCCATGTGCCACTTTCAGGTCTCCTCACACTGCTGGTGGTTTCCATTTTTGTCATAGGGTGCTGTATGGCCTCCCATTGCTGCTGCCTCCACCGCCACACTGTGGCTCCACACTCTGGTTTTGGCCCCGTGACTGGCCCAAATGAGTGAAGTGTGCGGTGATTCTTCTAAGATCGACGGCACTCATCTGCATGTCATACTGCCTGACAGTATTATTTCTCTTCCCCAGCAGACTCCAAGGGCATTTAAATTAAAGGTACAGTGTTCAGCATTAAGTTAAATTCACAGCGAATATATTCGACTCGAATCGAAATTTTTCCACGAATTCGCCGAATCAGTCGAATCGAATTTTTGAATACTTCGTACATTAACCATTTGCCTACAAGGCACTTATACCCACTTCCTGCCCAGGCCAGTTTCCAGCTTTTTCAGAGCTGTCGCACTTTGAATGACAATTGCGCAGTCATGCAACACTGTACCCATATGAAATTTTTATCATTTTTTTGTGACAGATAGAGCTTTATTTTGGTGGTATTTAATCAACTCTGGGTTTTTATTTTTTCTTAAACAAACCAAAAACCACTGAACATTTTGAAAAAAAAAATATTTTTTTTTCTTAGTTTTTATTATAAAATGTTGTAAAGAAGTGATTTTTCCTCCTTCACTGATGGGTGCGCTAATGAGAGCTGCAGCAGAGGCGGACTGACAGTTTTTTTTTTTTTTTCATGGGGGGGGACCCCGGGAAACAGGGGGATTATGGCGCCCTTGTGTCCCTTGCCCCACACTCGAAGCACACCCAAAAAAAGCCTAGAAAAGGTAGCAGGGGGGCATTTCATGGGGCACCCCTATTGATCCCGGGCCCTCAGGCAGTGCCCAAGTGGCTTCGA